TCACCAACAACCTTCACTAATCCCTACACCAACAACCACTACCACCAACAATCACTACCACCAACAATCACTACCACCAACAACCACTACCACGAACAATGATCAACAACAACGACTACCAACAACAACCACAACCACGAACAATTACTACCACAAACAACCATCAACAACAACGACCACTACCACCAACGACCACTACCACCAACAACAACCACTACCACCAACAATCATCAACAACAACGACCACAACCACCAACAACATCCACTACCACCAACAATCATCAACAACAACGACCACTACCAACAACGACCACTACCACCAACAACAACCACTACCACCAACAACTACTACCGCCAACAATCATCAACAACAACGACCACTACCACCAACGACAACTACCACCAACGACTACTACCACCACCAACAACCACTACCACCAACAATCATCAACAACAACGACCACTACCAACAACGACCACTACCACCAACAACAACCACTACCACCAACAATCATCAACAACAACGACCACTACCAAAAACGACCACTACCACCAACAACCACTACCACCAACGACCACTACCACCAACGACCACTACCACCAACAACAACGACTACCAGCAATGACCACTACCACCAACGACCACTACCACCAATGACCACCACCACCAATGACCACTACCACAAACGATCACTACCACCAACAACCACTACCACCAACAACCACTACCACCAATGACCACTACCACAAACGATCACTACCACCAACAACCACTACCACCAACGACCACTACCACGAACGACCACTACCACCAACGACCACTACCCCCAACGATCACTACCACCAACGACCACTACCACCAACGACCACTACCACCAACGACCACTACCCCCAACGATCACTACCCACCAACGACCACTACCACCAACGACCACTACCACCAACGACCACTACCACCAACGACCACTACCCCCAACGATCACTACCACCAACGACCACTACAACCAACATCAACGACCAATACCACCAACGATCACTACCACCAACGATCACTACCACCAACGACCACTACCACCAACAACTACTACCACCAACAATCATCAACCACAACAACCACTATCACCAACGACCACTACCACCAACGACCACTACCACCAACGACCACTACCACCAACGACCACTACCACTAACGACCACTACCACCAACGATCACTACCACCAACAACCACTACCTCCAACGACCACTACCACCAACAACTACTACCACCAACGACCACTACCACCAACAACCACTACCACCAACGACCACTACCACCACAAACAACCACTACCACCAACGACCTCGACCACCAACGATCACTACCACCAACGACTACTACCACCACCAACAACCACTACCAAGAACGACCAATACCACCACCAACAACCACTACCACCAACGACCACTACCACCAACGACCACTTCCACCGTCACCACCAACAACCACTACAAGCAACGACCACTACCACCACCAACAACCACTACCACCAACAACCACTACCACCAACAACCACTACCACCAACGATCACTACAACCAACGACCACTACCACCAACGACCACTACCACCAACGACCACTACCACCAACAACCACTACCACTAACGACCACTACCACCAACGATCAATACCACCAACAACCACTACCACCAACGACCACGACCACCAACGACCACTACCACCAACGACCACGACCACCAACGACCACTACCACCACTAACGATCACTACCACCACCAACGATCACTACCACCACCAACAACCACTACAAGCAACGACCACTACCACCACCACTAACAACCACTACCTCCAACAACCACTACCACCAACGACCACTACCACCAACAACCACTACCACCAACAACCACTACCACCACCAACAACCACTACCAGCAACGATCACTACCACCACCAACAACCACTACCAGCAACGACTACTACCACCAACAACAACCACTACCACCAACGACCACAACCACCAACGACCACTACCACCAACGACCACTACCACCAACGACCACTACCACCTACAACCACTACCACCAACAACAACCACCAACGACCACTACCACCACAAACAACCACTACCACCACCAACAACCACTCTCCACTACCACTACCAGACATTGTTATCCATTAAGCACAAAGATAATATGAATCTCATCCGAGAAATGCAACATAAAGGAAACGAAGCACACAATCTAGGGCTGTCAATCACTACTGTTAACACCACGATCAATACTAGGCTCACTGTTAATACTACCCAACGACAGCACCACTGATGACACCAGTCAATACTACCACCCTTATTAAACACCACAGTCAATACTAGCAACATTAGATTGTTGTCATTGCAGTGAAACACACACACACACACACACACACACACACACACACACACACACACACACACACACACACACACACACACAACATACACACACACACACACACACACACACACACACACACACACACACACACACACACACACACACACACACACACACACACACACACATCTGGAGCGAAGGAACTTTGTAACACAGCATCAACATGGGTTCAGGGATGGCAGGTCCTGCCTCACAGGGTTACTTGAATTCTACGACCAGGCAACAAAAATAAGGCAAGAAAGAGAAGGGTGGGCAGACTGCATATTTTTGGATTGTCAGAAAGCCTTTGATACAGTGCCACACAAGAGGCTAGTGCGAAAGTTGGAGATGCAGGCTGGAGTGAGAGGGAAGGTACTCCGGTGGATAGAGGAATACCTAAGCAACAGGAGACAACGAGTCTGTGTGAGGGGTGAGGTCTCAGATTGGCGAGACGTCACAAGTGGAGTCCCGTAGGGGTCAGTCCTTGGACCTATACTGTTTCTGGTATATGTAAATGATCTCCCAGAGGGTATAGATTCGTTCCTCTCAATGTTTGCCGACGATGCAAAAATTATGAGGAGGATTGAAACAGAGGATGATAGTAGGAGGCTACAAGATGACCTGGATAGACTGAGTGAATGGTCCAACAAATGGCTGTTGAAGTTCAACCCGAGTAAATGCAAAGTAATGAAACTAGGCAGTGGAAACAGGAGGCCAGACACAGGATACAGAATAGGAGATGAAGTACTTAATGAAACAGACAGAGAGAAAGATCTAGGAGTTGATATCACACCAAACCTGTCTCCTGAAGCCCACATAAAGAGAATAACGTCTGCGGCATATGCGAGGCTGGCTAACATCAGAACGGCGTTCAGGAACCTGTGTAAGGAATCATTCAGAATCTTGTACACCACATATGTAAGACCAATCCTGGAGTATGCGGCCCCAGCATGGAGCCCGTACCTTGTCAAGCACAAGACGAAGCTGGAAAAAGTCCAAAGGTATGCTACTAGACTAGTCCCAGAACTAAGAGGCATGAGTTATGAGGAAAGGCTGCGGGAAATGCACCTCACGACACTGGAAGACAGAAGAGTAAGGGGGGACATGATCACAACCTACAAAATCCTCAGATGAATCGACCGGGTAAACAAGGATGAACTTTTCAACACTGGTGGGACGCGAACAAGGGGACACAGGTGGAAGCTGAGTACCCAAATGAGCCACAGAGACGTTAGAAAGAACTTTTTCAGTGTCAGAGTAGTTAGCAAATGGAATGCATTAGGAAGTGATGTGGTGGAGGCTGACTCCATTCACAGTTTCAAATGTAGATATGATAGAGCCCAATAGGCTCAGGAATCTGTACACCAGTTGATTGACGGTTGAGAGGCGGGACCAAAGAGCCAGAGCTCAACCCCCGCAAGCACAATTAGGTGAGTACACAAACACTCCCCCCCCCCCACACACAGCCACACCTAAATCACCACACACAATCATAGTAACGTTACTCCAGGATCTTAACACCTTGTGTTCCCAATGATCACAAAGACTCCCTACATCCTGTGGTACCTACAACCCCTGCTACTTTTGTACCCTCTGGATACCCCAGCTCTACAGTATGCTTCCTAAGCCATCTACGCGCGCTCTCTACTACCCCGGGCTCTCTAGTTACTGTGTCTTATCACAGGACGTATCCACATCACGTACAAATCCTAGGAATATTCTACCTTAGTAGATTTCTTCTAAGCTTACTATATATCCCTCATCCTGTCTTCTAATGTTACAAGTACACGGTCGGAGACTGTTTTCAATATTCTAGCCATCTGAAGATGCCTCATCTAAAGATGCCTCAACTACTCAAAACTGTTTTGTGCATTATTGTCTTCGGAATCATTAGCTTCCTCGCCATACGATAAGAAAACATCAATTATGGGAGGGTGTTAAAATAGTAAATTTTGAGACACGAACAAACCCGGGCGGAAGCCTCCCCACTGACGTATATTTTGATGGAGCGGATTCGAGGCGTTTCAAGGCACGAAACGCCGCTGCCATCTGCTCCAGGCTGGGTGGATGAAGCCAACAGCTTCTTGGCGTAATTTAGCCTTCGTAGAGACACAACTGCAATGAATATGAGGCAATACATTCACCAGCTAAAGGCGCATTTGGTAATTATGGGTGTGAGACCCGACCCACAGAAAACAGGCTTTGTAAGCCTCGGGGTTCATATCATAATGATTGTGATATTTATGTTAGCACTTCTTTAATACTACAACAAAAAGGCTCGTGAGAGAAACAGTTGCCTCTTGAAGACTCCAAAAACAGCAGCAAGTCGGGCTTCTATTTATCGCACTCCAATGGCAGATGAGAAAAATGGGACACCATAAAATAAAAATGACTTGATTGATCGTGGAGGAAGTGAGATTCCTGCCACAAAACAGATTAGGCCAACCGAAAACCTCAATGTCCGCGGCGTGCAAGCCGCCAACCCCCTCCAACCGTCAGAGGACATCAACCCCCTCCAACCGTCAGGAGAGGCCAAACACGATAAAAATTCTGTGGCTGTTAAGGCCAATAATTCACCTGACAATGGTTAGGTGACAGTAGAAAACAAACGCCGTAATACCGGTGATGCCCTAAAACCCAAAACGGGATCGACAACAGCAACGGAAGAAGGATCAGAGCCCATAAGCTCCGGTAACACTCCCGGAGGAGAACACAAAACCGAAAACGGTAACCCCGTCAAGTCAAACTCGGCCCATGGACGAAGTGAAGATGATAGAAAACTTTCTCGGTTAGTATTTATCCCGCCCGACTTCCGGTCGGTTATAATAGGCTCGAAAGGTAAAACCCGTTCCGATATATAAAAGACTTTTTAGGTCAAGATAATAATACCGACAAAAGAATAGTGCCTCAGAGACACAATTGTTGAAGGATATAAGACAAATGTTGAAAAGGCCATTAGTAAAATTAATTTAATTATTGAGGACCATAAAAAGCTGTTGGCCCAACGGGAGGAGGAAAAGGCCAAACGGGAGGAGGAAAAGGCCAAACGGGAGGAGGAAAAGGCCAAACGGGAGGAGAGAAAGGCCAAACGGGAGGAGGAAAAGGCCAAACGGGAGGAGAGAAAGGCCAAACGGGAGGAGGCAGCTAAAGCCAGAGAGGAACTGGCAGCGAAGGGCATTTAAAAGACCATAGCAGTCGGAGAAAAATACAGGAAAGTGATCCTTGGGCACAAGGGTGATACAATAAACAAACTCACCGAAAAACACCAAGTCCAAATCAACGTTCCCGCACGAGGGGAATAAGGCCCAACAGAAGTTATTGGACTTGAGGAAAATGTACTGTCAGCAATTAATGATATTGAAGAACTCGTGGCGTAACATCAGAAAAAGACCATTTAAAAGACCATAGAAGTCGGAGAGGAACACAGGAAAGTGATCCTTGGCCCCAAGGGTGATACAATAAACAAACTCACCGAAAAACACCACGTAAAAATCACCGTTCCTGGACGAGGGGAATAAGGCCCAGTCGAAGTTATGGGACTTGAAGAAAATGTATTGACAGCAATTAATGATATTGAAAAACTCGTTGCGGAACGTCAGAAAAAATTAAAACAATACAAAACAAAATGTAAAAAGGAATAAAAACCGACCCATCGTGAAGGGTGACGGTCTCGCTTTATGCAGGCCAGAGTTCAATCCCCGAGCGTCCTGGAGCGCTGGGGAGCACCATTCCTTCCCCCCGTCCCTTGAGGTTACCTTGAGGTGTTTCCGGGGCTTAGCGTCCCCGCGGCCCGGTCGTCGACCAGGCCTCCATCCCTAATCCTGATCCCCTCCAAGTACTATAATAGGGATGATATAAGTGCAATGTGTGACTGACGGCTTGGCGCTTTTCCCTGACAAGTCCATTCCCAATCCTCCCTGTGATCGTGGGTCTGCGGGTCTGCGGTTCGCCACCACTCATCGTCTGCGGGTCTGCGGGTTCACTACCACCCATCGTCTGCGGGTTCGCCAACACCCATCGTCTGCGGGTCTGCGGGTTCACCACCACCCATCGTCTGCGGGTTCACCACCACCCATCGTCTGCGGGTCTGCGGGTTCACCACCACCCATCGTCTGCGGGTTCGCCACCACCCATCGTCTGCGGGTCTGCGGGTTCACCACCACCCATCGTCTGCGGGTTCACCACCACCCATCGTCTGCGGGTTCACCACCACCCATCGTCTGCGGGTCTGCGGGTTCACCACCACCCATCGTCTGCGGGTCTGCGGGTTCACCACCACCCATCGTCTGCGGGTCTGCGGGTTCACCACCACCCATCGTCTGCGGGTCTGCGGGTTCACCACCACCCATCGTCTGCGGGTCTGCGGGTTCACCACCACCTCAGGCTAGTAGTTAGGTTATTTATTTATTTATTTAGTTATTATTTATTAATTTTTTATTGATTTAATTTTTATTTAATTTTAATTTTATTTAATTTTTATTTTATTTTAATTTTATTTATTTATTTAGTTATTTATTATTATTAATTAATTTATTTGTTATGGTGGTAATGGTGGTTGGTGGTAGTGGTTGTTGGTGGTAGTGGTTGTTGGTGGTAGTGGTTGTTGGTGGTAGTGGTCGTTGGTGGTAGTGGTCGTTGGTGGTGGTAGTGGTCGTTGGTCGTAGTGGTTGTTGGTGGTGGTAGTGGTCGTTGGTGGTAGTGGTCGTTGGTGGTAGTGGTTGTCGTTGGTGGTAGTGGTCGTTGGTGTGGTAGTGGGTGGTGGTAGTGGGTTGGTGGTAGTGGTCGTTGGTGGTAGTGGTCGTTGGTGGTAGTGGTCGTTGGTGGTGGTAGTGGTCGTTGGTGGTAGTGGTCGTTGGTGGTAGTGGTTGTTGGTGGTGGTAGTGGTCGTTGGTGGTAGTGGTCGTTGGTGGTAGTGGTCGTTGGTGGTAGTGGTCGTTGGTGGTGGTAGTGGTCGTTGGTGGTAGTGGTCGTTGGTGGTAGTGGTCGTTGGTGGTGGTAGTGGTCGTTGGTGGTAGTGGTCGTTGGTGGTAGTGGTTGTTGGTGGTAGTGGTCGTTGGTGGTAGTGGTCGTTGGTGGTAGTGGTTGTTGGTGGTAGTGGTCGTTGGTGGTAGTGGTCGTTGGTGGTAGTGGTCGTTGGTGGTAGTGGCTGTTGGTGGTCGTGGTGGTGGTGGTGGTAGTGGTCGTTGGTGGTAGTGGTCGTTGGTGGTGGTAGTGGTTGTTGGTGGTGGTAGTGGTCGTTGGTGGTAGTGGTCGTTAGTGGTAGTGGTCGTTGTTGGTGGTAGTGGTCCTTTGTGGTAGTGGTCGTTGGTGGTAATGGTCGTTGGTGGTAGTGGTCGTTGGTGGTGGTAGTGGTCGTTGGTGGTAGTGGTCGTTGTTGGTGGTAGTGGTCGTTGGTGGTGGTAGTGGTCGTTGGTGGTAGTGGTTGTTGTTGTGGTAGTGGTCGTTGGTGGTGGTAGTGGTCCTGGTAGTGGTCGTTGTAGTGTTGTGATTGTGTCGGTGGTAGTGGTCGTTGGTGGTAGTGGTCGTTGGTGGTAGTGGTCGTTGGTGGTAGTGGTTGTTGGTGGTGGTAGTGGTCGTTGGTGGTAGTGGTTGTTGGTGGTAGTGGTCGTTGTGGTGTGTCGTTGTAGTTGGTTGTTGGTGGTAGTGGTTGTTGGTGGTAGTGGTTGTTGGTGTTAGTGTGGTTGTTGGTGGTTAGTGGTTGTTGTTGGTGGTAGTGGTTGTTGGTGGTAGTGGTCGTTGGTGGTAGTGGTCGTTGTTGTTGATTGTTGATTGTTGGTAGTGGTCGTTGTTGTTGATGGTTGTTGGTTGTAGATGGTTGTGGTGGTGGTAGTGGCTGTTGTTGGTTTGGTTGTTGTTGAGAGTTGTTGGTGGTAGTGTCGTTGTTGTTGATGATTGTATGTGTGATTGTTGTTGTTGTGATTGTTGGTTGTAGTGTTGTTGCTGTAGTGGTCGTTTTGTGGTTGTTGGTTGTAGTGGTTGTTGGTGGTATTGGTTGTTGGTGGTAGTGGTTGTTGTGGTAGTGGTTGTTAGTGGTAATGATTGTTGGGAGTAGTGATTGTTGATGTTGTGGTTGTTGGTTTATAGTGGTTGTTGGTGGTAGTGGTTGTTGGTGGTGGTGGTTGTTGGTGGTGGTGGTTGTTTTTGGTGGTTGTTGTTGTTGGTGGTGGTTGTTGTTGGTGGTTGTTTGTTGTTGGTGGTTGTTGGTTGGTGTTGTGGTGGTTGTTGGTGTTGGTGGTTGTTGGTGGTGGTTGTTGTTGTTGGTGGTGGTGGTTGTTGTTGTTGGTCCAGGTGGTTGTTGGTGGTAGTTGTTGTTGGTGGTGATTGTTGTTGGTGGTGGTAGTGGTTGTTGGTGGTTGTTTGTTGATGGTAGTGGTTGTTAGTGGGTGGTTGTTAGTGGTAGTGGTTGTTAGTGGTAGTGGTTGTTGTTGGTGGTGGTTGTTGTGGTGGTGGTGTTGTTGGTTGTTCTTGTTGGTGGTTGTTGTTGTTGGTGGTTGTTGGTGGTTGTTGTTGGTTGATGGTAGTGGTTGTTGGTGGTAGAGGTTTTTGGTGGTACTGGTTGTTGGTGGTACTGGTTGTTAGTGGTAGTGTTTGCTGGTGGTAGTGGTTGTTGGTGGATATTGGTGGTAGTGATTGATGGTGGTTGTGATTGTTGGTGGTAGAGGTTGTTGTTGGTAGTAGTGGTTGTTATTGGTAATTGTGGTTGTTGGTGGCAGTGGTTGTTAATTGTGTTTCTTCGTGGTTGTGGTTGTTGGTGGTTGTGATTGTTGTTGATTGTGGTTGTTTGGTTGTTGTTGATGGTAGTGATTGATGGAGGTTGTTTGTGCAGGTATTAGTTGTTGGTAGTAGTGGCTGATGGTTGTTGTTGGTGGTATTTGTGGTTGTTGGTAGTGGTTGCTTGTTGATGTCTCTGGTTGTTGGGTGTTTGTGGTAATGGTTGTTGGGTGTTGGTGATAATGGTTGGTGACGAGTTATAGGCAGCTTCAAATAGCCCAGAAACATCGAAACATGCCCTGAAAACATGTGTGTGTGTGTGTGTGTGTGTGTGTGTGTGTGTGTGTGTGTGTGTGTGTGTGTGTGTGTGTGTGTGTGTGTGTGTGTGATCTGAGGAGAGGCAATAGCAATGTTATTGATGCTTTGACCTCTCCACCAACTTGAACATCGGAAGAAGAATTTCACCATAGCTTATTGGTAAAAAAAAAATAAAAGATTATTGAAATCTTATTGAAAGCACATGAAAAAAATATTGGCAGTACAACATTTGACTTCAGCTTCATAACATCATGGAATGCAGCTGAGCTTCTACTTCATAACATCGTGGAATGCAGCTGAACATCCGTTTTATAACATCGTGGAATGCAGGTGAAATTCCACTTTATAACAGCGTGACCACTGCCTTATCCATCATCGAGGGGGAAGGAAAAGGAAATTGCATTGTCAACTGCATATGCATCGCGCCAAAAATCGATCAAGACCACATATAGCATCTCAAAACCTAAGTGTATATCGTGTATGAATGTATGTATGTGGTTTGATGAATTTGTGGGACCTTATGATTTATTGTTTAGGTATAAGTGAAATTCGTCCATCACAATCTATTGAAGGGAAATGTACGTAATTCTTTTGGGATACGGGAATAGGGGGTTGGCTACCTCCTTATAGCTGATGACTTGTGCTTATAAATGTAGCTTTGTTGCTGCTTGTACATTGTTGCCTGGATGGAGATAGATAGCTTGTGTTTGTAGTCTGTGTAGAGGAGACTTTTACCTGAAGAGTTGAAGCGGCAACCATGTGGAGGGAGTTAGTGTTTAAAGATAGTTCACGATTTGAAAACTATGTCAGGAGAAAAAAGTTTATTTAACCTTTTCGGCCAAATAAATGTCTTGTTTCGCCACATATATTTGGAAAAACTAAATTTAATGATACACATGTGAGAAAAAAAAAACAATCTTCTTTTGCCAATTCTCGTTCCAGCCTCACATAGTCAATTTCCCATGATTCCTATGCAGAAAACATTGACAGATACTAAAATTGGATGATAAACATTAATTACTTAAAAAGATACAACAATAATAAAAAAAAGGCATAACAAAATCTTGAAAACTAAAAAGTGGTATCTTGATTTGCCTAATAAGCCAAGTTTTCCTGAATTAATATATTTTCTCTAATTTTTTTTCTTATGAAA